TGCTCACCATGATGGAGCACTAAGCCCTAGACCAGTGGTCGGCAAACTGTGGCTTGCGAGCCACATGCGGCTCTTTGGCCCCTTGAGTGTGGCTCTTCCACAAAATACCGACTTCTGTGCATGGGCCACGAAGTTTCAATCGCACTGTACATGCGCACCTGCACATGGTATTTTGTGGAAGAGCCATACCACACTCAAGGGGCCAAAGAGCCGCATGTGGCTCACGAGCCACAGTTTGCCGACCACTGCCCTAGACAGTAGTTGCTCTCTCATCCGGGGGCTTTGAGTAAGAAGACATATGGGGCAGTTCTGAGCCTGACTTACTACCTGGAGAAACTCTATGTAGCTGATCTGCAGACCAGGTCAGATTGTACAGAAACACATTTGATGGTGTGAGAAACAAATGTTTCTGGTTGAAAGCCTCTGAGACTTGGAGTTGCTTTTATGAGCATTTTCATAAGGGACATTTGCTCAGTGGGAATTCAGAATTGTTATAAACCAGTGACTGCTGTATGCCTCCCACTTTTCACATTTCCAAATATGATTGTTTATTGCTGTCATCCTGGTCTTGTTTCACCTTTAAGGTGTGTGTGTGTGTGTGTGTGTGTGTGTGTGTGTGTTCCCAAGAAAATATAAATAACTCTGGGCATGCTGTAGATGCTAGTTCAAGAACCTGGACTTTAAATATGATGCCTTTTAGGGTATTCTCCTCAAAAATGCTATGAGTTGATTCTGAATACAAGGGTAAGGTGCATCCATAACTGAGATAAAGAGATTATATTATTATTCAGCAAATATTGACTTTCTTCTCCTCCTCCCCCATAGGAAGAGAATAGTATGGAAGCCCCATCAATGTCAGTTTTGCCATTTGGGCATATGACCTAGTTACTATGAACAGTGGAATATGGGAAGAAGGAACAGTATACCAGGTGCTAAGGAAGGCTTTAAGGGGCATTAACATTTCTACCAGCCTTATTACACTCCAGTTCTCATCATAATAATAGCACATCCTGCGTGGAAGCTATTCCTTCAACTTTGGTGTCCAGATAAGCAGGCATATGGAGCAGACCCACCCAGCAGAGCAGCCATACCATCTCACAGAACTGTGAATGAGATAAAAAAATGTTTGTGGTTTGCTATCAACTGAGATCTAGGAGGTATTTTTCTATGAAGCACCACTGCAGCAAAAGCTGCCTGGGTAAACCTTTGATAAGAGAGAGGATAATGTCTGCATGTAGTTAGTGCTTGAGCTAACCAAATTTCTGTCCTGTCAGCTACATGTAGAAAATATAAAACTCCAAGAAGAGTTATTCTGGAAAGTATTAAGTAAATTAGGAACAAAGAGACTTGTTCCAAACAAATTCTGCTATGCACCTTGCATGGGGGATGCTTGCCAAAATTCTGACGAAGGTTCACTGGTATATTTTTTTCTATACTTATGCAATGGAATATAGTCGGCCTGCCTCAGAGGGCAATGGATCCTAGTCCAGGTAGAGGTAGCCTGCGCTTCCAGCATATTTCTGGAAGTAGATCCAGACCATTAATAACTTATGACCTTGTAAATATAATACTATTGGGATAATGCACCAGAACATTTTGTGAACAGTGACCACAAACTTTTTTTCTGGGATGTTTACCTCTTGGCTCAACCTTAATCCTTCACTCTAATCATAAATATTGCAACACACAAAATCTGTCTAATTACTAGTATGTGTCTTACTGACATAATTCATTACAAACTAAATATATACAAAAAGCTCATTGTCCTAAATTTCACATTATTATCCTTGATACTATTTTTTTAAATTTATTTATTGTCTAAAGTTTTACATATGTCTCCTTTTTCCCCTCTTGGATGC